ACCTTGTTATCTCAAATAAACTTTGACACTGAGGTTGCTTCAACCATTAACTGAACTCTGTCCAACGTCATGTTAATCTTTATGGGACACTTAGAAATGCTTTATGTTTGAAATGACGTGAAGCCCAGCTGGGAGTGGGAAGGTGAGTCACATCGCAACTTGTGTTGTGACTCATTGTCTAAAACACTGAGTGAGTGAGAGAGAAAGAGAGAGACAGAGGGCAGAAATACTTCTAAAGTAACTTGGAAACACTCAAAGGCTTCACATCGCACTTTGGAAACACTTCCGATTGGGAATTCGACACTGCATTTGGCTTCACATCTACAATACAATTCAATTCAATATAGCACAGGAACTGGCCCTTCAGCCCACCAAGCCTGCACTGATACTAGTCCTTATTTTGACCCACTACATATGGCCCTTGCGCAGTTTCTATCCCTCTAATCGCCTCCCGGTCATGTGTCTATCAAGACATACCTTAAACGTTGCTAATGTGCCTGTTTCCACCACCCCCACTGGCAGTGCGTACCAGGCACCCACCACCCTCTGGGTGAAAAATTTTCCCCGCACTTCTCCCCTAAGCTTTCCCCTCTCACCTTGAACCTCTTGTAGCTGACCTTTCCACCCTGGGAAAAAAGCCTCTGACGATCCACTCTATCTATACCTCTATCCGGTTGCCCCTCAGCCTCCGTCTTTCCAGAGAAAACAGTCCAAGTTAGCACCAGCTAACGTCTAGCCATGAAGGATGAGCTACATCAGGCGTCGTTTAAGTTCTTTTTCAGCGACTTGAGGCACTGGGAACACACAGCGTCATAACTCCACAAAGGCCGGTGTCCTGTCACCAAGTCACCCTTTATTGACACATAAATAGTCCTTGACTATAGTACTGCCTCATTCAGAGTCAGGCACTGGAGTGTCGGTATCCCTGACCCTCCTGTTTATATCTGTCAGCCAGGGCTCCCTGATTCAACCAGGTTAACAGCCCCAATCAGGGAACTCCTATTCGTGGAGGGCCCTGACCTCGTTACGATCATGACAGGAAGGGAAGTGATTCTACTGACGGGGCAAGTCCAAAACCCAGGGGCCACAAAAGTAAGACAATTCCTCTTAAAACCAACAGGGAAATTCAGGAGAAACCTCTTTGCCCAGAATGCAGTTATGAACGCTACCCAGTGACAAGACGCGGGGGCGCAGTTCAGGTGGAGAAAGGATTAGAAGGATATGTTGAGAGGGCGGGACTGAGAGTGGAGGCTGGTGTAGAGGATAAACACAAGGTATAGACCTGTTGGGCCTGATTCTGAGCTGTGGGTATGATCCAATTTAGTTTCACCTTCACGCCAAAGAGGAATTTTCATAATTCCTTACAAAGCACCCGCATTATTTCATTCGAATCGTTGAGAGGATTTGCCTAATGAGGAAATTGTGACCAGCTTCCCTGATCGCAGAGGGTTGGGGGAGACAGGGTGAAGCGAAGAAAATTCAGTGCTCATGATCGCTGCCTAGTGACCGGTTCTGGGAACTGCGCCGGAGCACAGAAACAGGCAGAGCAGTGGGATTCGGTGTCCAGTTCGCTCTGTCCCCTGTCAATCACGGCCACGGTGTCACCATCGCCACCCACTCCACCAGAGGACCTCCTGAAGCACGCCATGGGACGACTTGGGCCAAATCAGTGCACAGTGAGATCCTGCAAACAGGAGAATGGCAGTGAGGGATGGGGGGGTATGTTGGAAGGGAATGGAAGATTCAGAATATGGACTGGCACCCACCTATTTTCCTCTTGCACATTTTTGTGAGATGAGCGTCATTGATGAGACAAGAATCTATTGCAACTAGCTCCACCCATCCACCCCACCTACTATTATTGGCCGGGGGTTGGGGAATGGAATGAGAATTTTACCCCTTCAACCGAACAAGCCTCTGAGATCTCTCTGCTCCTTCCAATCCCTGAACATTCCCACTTTTATCCGCTCTGTTTTTGGAGGCTGTACCTTCAGCTGCTTGAGCCTTAAGCTCCCGGATTTCTCTTCCTCAACCTCTGCCTCCTCCTTAAAAAAAACACACTCCTTGACACCTCCCCCGTGCCCCCAAAGTAACAGCTCATTCACAGAATCCGTACGGTGTGGAAGCAGGCCATTCAGCCCATACTGACCCTCCAAAGAGCATCCCACCCCAACCCTATCCCTGTAACCGTGCACTTTCCATGGCGAACCCACCAAGCCTGCACATCCCTGGACACTACGAAGCAATCTAGCACCCTAACCCGCACACCTGTGGACTGTGGGAGGAAACCGGGGCACCTGGAAGAAACCCACACAGACACGGGGAGAACGTGCAAACTCCACACATACAGTCACCCAAGGGTGGAATCGAACCAGGATCCCTGGCACTGTGAGGCAGCAGTGCTAACCACTGAGTCACCGTGCCATCACGAGGGAGAAGACGACATTGCTCATTTTCATTCCCTCTGTCCTGGGCTGTGGCTGCCATTGATAATGTGGTATTGTCAGGTTGGCAAGGTGCAGCGAATGATGTCCCACAGATATCAGTGCCGGGGCCTCAACCTTTTACAATTTGTGTCGAGCACTTGGCTGAAGGTATGGTAGCTAAATTCGCTGATGACACAAAGAAAAATAGGAATGTACATTTTAAAGGGGACACAAGGGTGGGATATATATATAGGTTAATGCCGGGATATTACCGGGATTGGAGGGTTTGAGTTACAAAGAAAGGCTGGATAAGCTGGGACCTTTTTTCACTGGAGTGTAGGAGGGTGAGCGTAGACTGGGTGACCACTTGGCAGAACATCTACGTTCTGCTCGCAAAAAAGACCCTGAACTACCTGTTGCCTGCCACTTTAACGCACCACCCTGCTCTCTGGCCAACATCTCTGTCTCTGGCTTGCTGCAGTGTTCCAGCAAAGCCCAACGCAAGCTGGAAGAACAACACCTCATTTTCCGCATGGGGGCTCTACAGCCCTCCAGACTCAATATCAAGTTTGATCATTTTAGGGCCTAAACTCTCCCATGTCCTACTCCCCTACACCACACACCAGGCCTTGTTACCACATTGCCTGCCATTGCACACCCCCTGTTGTTAGTCACTAACAGTCCCCATTAATAACTATTCACCCTCCTAGCCTGATCGTTATCAACTCTTTGTCTGTCCAACTGCTGTTCTCTCCCCTTAGGTTCTATTCTATCGTTTACTCCCTACCCCACCCGCCTCCCTATTTTCTGAATATAAACTGACGTTTTCCCAGCTACCATCAGTTCTGAGGAAAGGTCACCGGACCCAAAACGTTAACTCTGTTTTTTCTCCTTCACAGATTCTGCCGGACTTGCTGAGCTTTTCCGGCAACTTTGTTTTCGTTCCTGATTTACAGCATCCGCAGTTCTTTCGGTTTTTATTTTGTACGTTCATGTGTTCTCCACCTGCCATAGACACAGAAACCAGACAAAGGCCTAGTGGTGTTATCACTGGACTGTTAATCCAGCGAACCAGATAACATCCCAGGGACCTGGGTTCAAATTCCACTACAGCAGATGGTGGAATTTGAATTCAATAAATATCTGGACATTAAGAATCTAATGATGACCGTGAATCCAGTGTTGATTGTTGGAAAAATCCCATCTGGCTCACTAATGTCCGTTAGGGAAGGAAACTGCCATCCTTATCTGGTCTGGTCTACGTGTGACTCCAGACCCACAGCAACATGGTTGACTCTTAAACTGTCCTCTGGGCAATTAGGGATGGGCAATAAATGCTGCCTGACCAGTGATGCCCTCATCCCGTTAATGAGTAAAGGTAAAAAAGAATAAAGGAAAAAGAACGTCAAGGAGCTGGACACAGTATCCAGCGATTCACAAGCGACATGTTTGCTTCTTGCACCCTCTAGAGGCAAGCAACTGAACTGCTGTGATAAAAAAAAGACTCGAATGTTGTTTCTGTCCTCCTGAGCCTTCACAAACTGAGCTGTTTAATGATATAAGCCATGAGCTTGCAGAACGCCCTGCCTACAGTGCACTGCAACTCACATATTGTGTGCGGGTATTTACAATACAAAGGCAGGCTGTTCAGACCACTGGCAGTGGTCATGCTGTATACAAGTCAGCCCCTCTCCATCCAACCCCGTCACGCGAATCCTCCCCTCCCTCTCCCATCTTTTTGAGTCCCCACCCCAACCCCGACCTCCCCTTGACGTCTGACCGATAAAAGCAGCACCCACCCAGCCCGGCACCGTGCACTTAAATCCCCGACTTTTCCACCCTCCCCCTTTGACTCTGAGGGGCGGCACGTTGGCTCAGTGGTTAGCACTGCTACCTCACAGCACCAGAGACCCAGGTTCGATTCCACCCTCGGGCGACTGTGTGGAGTTTGCACATTCTCCCCTGTATCTGCGTGGGGTTTCCTCCGGGTGCTCCAGTTTCCTTCCACAGTCCAAAGGTGTGCAGGTTACAGTGGACTGGCCGTGCTAAACTGTCCCATAGTGTTCAGGGATGTGCAGGTTAGGGTGGGTTATATGGGGTGGGTGGGATTCTCTGAGGGTCAGTGTGGACTTGTTGGGCCGAAGGGCCTGTTTCCACACTGTAGGGGTTCTGTGATGATTTCTAGATCAAGGCAACATGTGACACCGAGTGACACAGACTGAGACGCGGGCGACACGAAATGTTCTGCGCCTCAGGGAGGCAGAGGGGTGGAGGGGAGTTGCTTTCGCCCCATTAGTATTCCTCTGCCTCCCTCTCCGAGGAGACTCCCACACCGTAAACTGACAAAGGAACCCCCCCCCCCCCCCCTCCCCTTTTAACATCAGGCAACGCCTAGTGAACTGAGGACAACCAGCTGGTCTGGCTGGTGAGAAATCATTCCTCACCCAAAAACCCAACCCCTCCCTGCCCGATCTGGAAGGGGGTGTGCCCTCTCTGCTGGTGGTCTAACCAACCCCCCACACTCCGTCTTCTCCCCCTCAGCCCCGCCGCCCAACCCTCCCCCAAAAGGGAGCCCTACAGCACGACACTGACAGCGATGCAGTTGTTAGCGGGCGCGATCTTCCTCCTGCAGGCGAACATCTTCTTCAGCTCGGCCCGGAAGCGGTCGTGGAGCCAGGCGTAGAGGAAGGGGTTGCAGCAGGCCGATGTCATGGCGACGCAGTGGCACAGGAGCTGGACCAGGTTGAAGTAGTCCTTGTCGATCAGGCTGATGTCGATGTCCCGGATGATGTTGAAGACGTGCAGCGGCAGCCAGCAGGCCCCAAACGCGGCCACCACCAGCACCAGGAGCCGAAAGATCTTCTTGCGCCTGGCCTTCTCCCATCGCTCCTGGCCGTGCGTGGCATTGCCTGGCACGACCCTCTTCCTCAGCTTGAGGGTGATGCGCAGGTAGGACAGCGAGACGGCCGACAGCGGCAGGATGTAGGTGATGATCAGGGTGCTGTAGGCGTACGCCAAGTGCTGCCTCTCCAACCCCATCCAGAACTCCTCGCAGATGGTCAGGTCCTGGTCCTGGAACCGGATGTGGAAGGTGTGGGCGAGGGCCGGAGCTGCCAAGGCGCACGAAACGAGCCAGACCCCGGCCAGGATATAGGTGCAGGTGCCGATGGAGATGCGCTTCCTCAGCGGGTGCACCGTGGCGTAATACCTGTCGAGTCAAAGACAGAGGCAGCTCTCAGTGTTGGCAAAGACTCATTCAGAGGGCACACACAGAACAAGAGGAGACCTTGTCCCAACTAGGCAGGGGGTGTTGGCGACGCCATGCTTTGGGCAATGGATTCACAGTCATCATTAGACTCTTAATTCCAGATTTTTTTTATTGAATTCAAGTTCTACCATCTGCCGTGGCAGGATTCGAAACCAGGTCGCTAGATAATTATCTAGGTCTCTAGATTATCAGTCCAGCTATAATACCACTGGGCCATCACCTCCTTAATTACAGAGGGACAGATTGGGCCTCTGAAGTTCAGAAAAATGAGAGGCGACCTTATGGAAATGTACAATATTCTTAGGGGACTTGATAGGATAGAGGTGGGGAGCTGGTTTCCCCTTGTGGGAGAGTCCAGGACCAGAGGGTGTAATCTCAGAATAAGGGTTCACCCATTGAAGACAGGCATGAGGTGAAATTTCTTCTCTCCAAGGGGGGTGAATCCGTGGAATTCTTTACCACAGAGGGCAGTCAACGCTGGATCACAAAGTATATTCAAGGCCGAGACAGATTTTTAATCAGGAAGGGGAATCAAGGGTTACAAGGGAAAGTGGGAGTTGAGGATAATCAGATTAGCCACGATTCTCGTCGAATGGTGGAACAGCCTTGATGGGCTGAATGGCCTGCTCCTGCTCCTGCTCCTAGGTTTTATGGTCTCACCATCACGATTGGAGCAGCTAAGAGGTTTCAGGGGTGACGGAGGTTTGCAGTTGAGCAGGTCAGACTGTGTGTTTCGAAGAACTGGCAGTGATTTGATGAAGAATAGAATTCCAAGGGTGTAAGGGGAGGCGATGGCCTAGTGATATTATCGCTGGACTGTTAATCCAGAGACCAGATAATGTGCTGGGGACCAGGGTTTGAATCCTGCCACAGCAGATGGTGGAATTTGATTTCAATAAATATCTGGAAATAAGAGTCTAGTGATAACGATGAATCCATTACCGATTGTTGGAAAAACCCATCTGGTTCACTAATGTCCTTTAGGGAAGGAAAGTGCCTTCCTTACCTGGTCTGGTCTACATGTGACTCCAGACCCACTGCAATGTGGTTGACTCTTAACTGGGGTTTTAATTAGGGATGGGCAATAAATGCTGCCCAGTAAGCGACGCCCTCATCCTGTGAAAGGGAAAAAAGAAGCTGTCAGCAGTAGGAGTGGAATCCAGAACCGAGGGGGCACATGTTTGAAAAGCAGGGCTCCCCCATTTAAGACGGAGATGAGGAGTATTTTTTTTCCCTTTCCGTCTCTCCGTCTCTCTCTCTGTCTCCCTGAGGTTCTCTCCCCAGAACCAGCAGCAAAGTCCCGATTCGCTGACTGAAACTGAAGGCCGTGTTCCGGCAGATGTTTGATCCATGAAGGAGTCAGCGCACCACTGGGTGTTTCGGGCTGCCATCAGGTGGGCCGCCCCTTGTACAGGGCTGTAAGATGAGTGGCCTCCCCCTGCTCCTTAAACCGCATGCTCCAACGTGAAAATTGGCTGAAAACCGGCTGCTTGAGGAGACAACCCATAGATAGCCCTGTGCCCGGTAGCTCCCCTTGCTTGACACCAAGACGGGAATGACCTTCCTGAAAGTTCCCAGGCGTCGGGGAAACCTTTGGCATCGCACGGCTTCGTCTGGCTGCAGCACTCCCCCCCCCACCCCGTGCAGAGTGGGGAAGAAACCCCCTCCCCCCAACCTCCCACTCTCGGATAGAGGACGGATGGTTTGGGTATTTTATTAGGCCACAGGGGTGTGTGGGGCAGACCAAGAACTGGCCACTTGGCTCAGCGGGGCCAAAAGGATGTTATGACGCTAACGTCACCGGACTGGTCATCCAGGCTCTAGCAGGCATGGGTTCAAATCCCACCGCTGGCCAAGTTCTCCGTTTGGTTTTATTTTTGGTGAAAACAAAAATCGCACCGGAATTAAGAGGTGACCATTAAAAGGAAAACCCATCACGTTCACTACCGGCCCTCAGGGAGGGAAATCCACCCTCCGTACCCTTATGGTCTGGGGCTACATGTGACTCCAGACCAATATTGAACTTCCCTCTGCCCCCTACTCAGTTCAAGGAGCAATCAGTGTCACTGCCAGCCTTATCTACGATCCCCCCCATGCAAGAATAAATAAAGGAGGGGGAAATAAAATGAGGGTGCCTTTATTGGTCAGTAGGATTGAGTATAGGAGTTGGGAGGGTCATGTTATGGCTGTACAGGACATTGGTTAGGCCCCTTTTGGAATACTGCGTTCAATTCCGGTCTCCCTGCTATGGGAAGGATGTTGTTAAACTTGGAAGGGCTCCGAAAAGGGTGTTGTTAGTGTTGGAGGGTTTGTGCTACACAAAGAGGCTGAATAGGCCTGGAGCGTTGGAGGCTGAGGGGTGACCTTATAGAGGCTTATAAAGTCATGAGGGCCATGGATAGGGTGAATAGCCTTTTCCCCAGGGTAGGGGAGTCCAAAACTAGAGGGCATAGGTGAGGTGAGAGGGAAAAGATTTAACAGGGACCTGAGGAGCAATGTTTTCACACAGAGGGTGGTGCATGTATGCAACGAGCTGCTGGAGGAAGTGGTGGAGGCTGGTACAATGACAACATTTAAAAGGCATCTGGATGTGCACATGAATAGGAAGGCTTTAGAGGGATATGAGACAAATGCTGGCAAATGGGACTAGTTTAATTTAGGATATCTGGTCGGCATGGACGGGTTGGGCCGAAGGGTCTGTTTCCTTGCTGTTCATCTGTATGACTCCCTGACACTGGGAGGTGTGTTTGTACCTCACCACAGGAAGAGATGCAGGACTTCACTGAACGTCTTGTCTCCAAGTGGCCCAGTCAGAGCACTCTAGGTCACTGCACATCCCGTGACCGCTAAACTGTGGAACAAAGCACGGTGTAGGGGACTCAAGACAGATGGAGTGGAGACTGGAGAAGGGTCTGCAAACAAGAGAACTGATGGTGATTGGCAAATGGCACAACAGCAAGGTGGTGAAAACCCCTTTCCCGAATGCAGCGAGCGATTCGGACCCGGAATGTTCTCTCGGGGTCAACGATTTAATCGCGTGAGTGGATAGGACCATGATCAAACGATGGCGTTACATGGCACTACCGAGTTGGAGGGAGGTCTCACCAAGGGGATATTCTGAGCTCCTGTAGACCGTTGACCGTACGGTGGTGAATAAAGATTATTGCTCAAGAGGGCTGAGACTTTGAAGAGACAACAGAAGACCCATCTCCCTCACCATCAAACCGAGCAGAAAACAATGCAATATTGCCAGAAGAATGTTTTGGGGGCACATTCAATTGAATTAGCTGAGTTGCTCTTGCAGGGATCTAGCACAGACTGGACGGGCCATTTCACTGAAATGGAGAGGTGGTCACATCGATGTTGGGACTGGGGGGCGGGCGGTGCCTGTGTAAAGGATGCCAGATGGAGAATAGATGTGATTTTACAATGACCTGGTTGCTTTGTTTAATGAACGCATCTTTATCAATATTCCAATTGTAAAATCTGAAGACAATTTCCCAATCTGTCCATGTGACTGAAGGTTCTGATGAGGACATGAGGAATGTGCAATGGGATATGGACGGGGATGTGTGGTGAGTGGGTGAAAACCTGGCAGATGGAGTTTAACGTAGGAAAGGGTCAGCTCATTCACTTTGGATCGAAGAATCAAAAGGCAGACTATTATTTAAAAAGGAGAGAGACTCCAAAAGAGAGCAGGACAGAGAGATCTGGGTGCGATTGTGCCTGAAACATCAACTTGGCAGCGAGTAACGAGAAAGGCAAAGTGGAATTTCGGCCTTTATTGGTAGGGGATTGGTGACAAACGCACAAGGTGCTGGTAGGCCTCATCGAGAGGAGTGTTTGCAGTTTCGGTCCCCCGTGTTCAAGAAAGGATCGGCTGGCATTGCAGGAAGTTCAAAAGAGGCTCATGAGACCAATTCATGGGATAAAGGGGTCAACTTATCAAGGGCGGCTACGCAGTTCATTCATTAGAGTTTAGAAGAATGAAGGCCGATCTGATTGAAACATGCAAGGTTCTAAGGGGTTTGACAGGGTAAATGTTGGAACATTACAGAATAAGGAGACATCCATTTAAAACTGACACGCGAAGGAATTTCTTCCCCCAAAAGGGCCATGATTGTCTGGAACTCAGAGAGTTGTGGAGTATAGATCACTGGCAGTACCTAAAGTGGAGGGTGACAGATTTTGAAATATTGGGGAGCTGGGACTCGTGGCCCTGGGGCAAATCAGCCCTGAGTGAATGGTGGGGCAGCCTTGAGGGGTGGGACTGAATGACCTACTCCTGCTCCAATCCCTGATATTCTAACGTTCTCTCGTCTATGAACCAGTGGCATACAGTCCACGTCTCTCACCCACAAGTCCCCCCCGTACCCCGACAAAGTCTACACATCTTTCCCAAACAGCAGATCTCAGAGTTGGTCACACTACTCCAATTGAGGTGAAACTGATGACTTACAACTTCCGCGGGGCAGGTCTGAACTCTTCTGTCCAGGTCTTGGGAGCCGTCCAGTTTTATGCCTGCTGCACTCCCACACCGCTGTATCTCCAGGATCTGGAGAACAGTTGGTGCACTTCAATAAATGGGTGAAGCTTTTAACCCTGAGTGGATCAATGGCAGACTGACAGGACCACTTTAACCTAAATATAATTGAATCTCACATTGTCACAGCAGGAAGGAAAAATTACTTAGTCACTGGCAACATAATTATACACCCAGCCATCATTAGTGCGTAGGGATGGCATGTTAGTCAAGTTAAAAAAAACCTCTGCTGTGATTTTTGCTTTCAGACATTAATCTGTCTCTGCATCTGTTTGAAGATGGAACTTGCTCCAATTTAAACACATTTGTCAGCTTTGTCCATCAAATTGACTGTTAAAATTCCAGCCTAAAGACAAGTGAACACCTTTCGGAATACATTTGCGCTCCTCGTAGCGTTTGCAAGCACTACTGCCTATTCCTGACTGTGAACAGGGGAAATCGAATCAGTAGGAGGCCAGTCAGCCTGCTCCACAAATTGACTAGACCACAGCTGACCTTCTATCTCAAAGCCATTTTCCCTGCACTGTCCCCGATAGAAATATCTGAAAACCAATCAATGTCTGCCTTGAATATTCTCAGTGACAGAGCCTCCACCACCCACTGGGTTGAAGAATTCCAAAGATTCACCACTGTTCAAGTGAGGAAATTCCTCCTCCTTTCATTCCTAAAAGGCCTCTCTCTCTCATTTCTGAGACCGTGTTCCCTGGTTCTAGGTTCCCCCTCTCCATGCCCGGTGGGGAATTCCTTCTTGCAGCTACCCTGTCAGGATCTTGAGAAGGTGGTGATGAGCTGTCTTCTCGAACAGCCGCAGTCCGTGTGGTGCAGTGTAGATCCTATGCTGCTCGGGAGGGAGTTCCAGGATTTTAACGTAGCAACAATCAAGGAAGGAAGGGTGAGCTATATGAACTGTAGGATGAAGGAACGGCCGATATATTTCCAAGTCAGGATGGTGTGTAGCTTGGAGGCAAGGGGTGGTATCTACTGTCCTTGTCCTTCTAGATGGAAGTGGTCGTGGGTTTGGAAGGTGCTGTCTAAGGAGCGTCGGTGAGTTGCTGCAGTGCATCTTGTAGATGGTACACACCGCTGTTACTGAGCGTCGGTGGTGGCCAATAGCAGCGCTAGCCTGCCAAGTTCAGGGGGTAACAGGGAAGCCAAATGGAATGGCCATTATTATTTCAAAGGGAATGAAAGTAAGGAGGTCTTGCTAAAACTATACAAGGCACTAGTCAGACGATAGCTTGCATAACTGTGAACAATTTTGGTTCCATTATCTAAGGAAAGACGGACTAGCATTGGAGGCGGACCAGAGAAGGTTCACTGGATTGATCCTGGGTACGAAGGGACTGTCTTGTGAGGAATGGTTGAGTTGGGTCTTTACTTATTGTTTGGGATGTTTGTCCATTGGACCAAAGTTGTGGGGTTGATTTTTACATTGAATGGGGGATTATGGTGGCTATGTTTTCATTGAACAAATCAACACGTCAACCACTTTGGTGTATCACACACCCTTCCGGGAAACCCCAGTAAAATCCTGTAATCCTGCACCAAAATGGGTTTCGCTGTCCCTGCGTATGGAGCATTCTGGATTTTGATCAGTCTAACCAACTCAGAATGTCATGTCAATCAGTTTGGTACATTCACACAGATACACACACACACCTCGTCCATTTATAGCAAATGAAAAGAGACCTTATTGAAACATGCAAGATTCTTAAGAGGATTTGACATGGGGGGAGATGTAGAGAGGTTGTTTCCCCTCATGGGAGACTCTCGGACTAGAGGGTGTAATCTCGGGGTAGGGGGTTGCCCCATTGAAGACAGAGATGTGGAGGAATTTCTTCTCTCAGAGGGCAGTGAATCTGTGGAATTCTTTACGACAGAGGGCTGTCGAAATGGGTCATTAAGCATTTTCAAGGCCAAGCTAGATTTTTAATCAGAAAAGGGAACCAAGGGAAACGGGGAAAAGGCAGGAAAGGGGAAATGATGGCTGAGTGGTATTATCACTGGATTGTTGATCCAGAGACCCGGATAATGTCCTTAGGTTCAAATCCTGCCATGGCAGATAGTGGAATTTGAATTCAATAAATGTCTGGAATTAAGAGTTTAATGATGCCCATGAATCCATTGACGATTGTCGGAAAATCTCATCTGGTTCACTGACGTCCTTTAGGGAAGGAAACTGCCATCCTTACCTGGACTACATGTGACTCCAGACCCACAGCAAGGTGGTTGAGTCTTGACTGCCCTCTGACCCATCAGGGATGGGCAATGAAGGCCGGCCTAGCCCAAACCCCTTGAATGAATACAGAAAAAGATTGAAGATGATTAGATCAGCCACGAACTTGTGGGATGGCCGAGCGGACTTGATGGGCTGAATGGCCCATATCTGCTCTTATGTTTTTAGGGCCAGGAGTCCAGCTATCTCACGCGACATGGTGCCGAGGGTGAGGGTTAGGGGGAGCAGGGGGTGCGCGAGGGTGGGTGGCTCTGAAGGGTTAAAACCCGCCTTTACCTGTCCACAGCGATGGCAGTGAGCGTGAATACGGACACGTAGACCGTCACCGGCTGCATCAAGAAGACGAAGTAGCACATGAACTTGCCGAAGATCCAGCCGCGCGGGTGGAAGGCATACGCCAGGGTGAAGGGCACACAGGTGGCACACATCAGCATGTCAGAGAAGGCCAGATTGCCGATGAAGAAGTTGGTGACGTTGTGCATCTTCTTGGTCTTGCAGATGACGTAGAGGAGCAGGTAGTTCCCGACGATGCCAACAAACACCACCAGCACGTAACAGGGGATGATGAGGGGCTTGAACGACTGCAGCAACTCGACGCCAGTGAACTGCGAGGAGCTGTTGGCACCGTCTGTCAATGCAATCTGATAGCTGGTGGTGTTTGCTGGGTACATGCTCCAGCTCTCTGTTGATATGGACAACATGACCACAGCCACCCACCTGTCCCTGTGGTCCGTTACCACAGGCTTCTTGAATACTTAGAACTGACCGGTTGTAATATTTGGATTTCTGTGACAGCAGGGGACTTAATATTTTCTTCGTGTTTTCCCTGACCTGAGAGCAAGATTCAACAATCTGAGGTCTTGCTTGTACCAGTCAGTCGTTTCTGAAGACTCCTTCCTGCTTTCTCTCCTCTGTGTAGTGACAGGTCTCTTCCTTTGTAGCTCGCTCTCGCTTTCTCTCTCTCTCTCTCTCTCTACCCCGGTTCTTATTTAGATGAAATATTAAAACTCCATTCAGTCTCCTGCAGAAACAAGAGAGAAGGAAGAGATTGCTCTTTGGAAGTTAGAGGGAGGGACATTTTCTGAAGGTTTAAAATATTAACAGTGGGGTCAGGGAGCTGGGGGTCTGGAATTAAAACTGAAATCAGTAAGCTTTGGGCTAATCTGAAATTCATTTTCAATGTGACAATGCCCTTTTTTGTTAACCTGAATCCAGGTCTCCTGTTCAATGAGGCTATCGATGTATCAGTCCCACTCAATATTTACACCCTGCTGCTTTCATAACTATTCATAATCTCTGTTTTCTCTTATTGAATTTCAACCTACATCCACAGCTTCCAAGAAAGCTGATTTCAACAGGCAATCACTTTTAATTTGGGTGGATGAGAAAAGCCTTTATGAATCATTGAGAAACTATCTAACCAACACATTAATGTTCATCGCAAACATAATTTTGAAACTTGTCCCAAAATAGCAAATTCAAATAATATGGATATTCATTGACTGAATGTTTGTCGGTTAATGTGAGGACTCAGGATTTTTTTTGGTGGGTGAGTTTCTCATTTACAAAATCAATCATCAATTTCAATTTATTCTGCAGCTTAAATTGAAACCGGATTTAATTCCAGCCATCACACGGACGAAGGTGCATTTGCGTGGCACCCATGCCTCGAACTGTGCTCTCTATTGCGAAGTGTGCATGCAAGCTGCTGTTTGCTTTCCCCCCCGGAATATTTCAGCACGACAGAACATATACAGAAGTCAATTAACTTACAAACTGAGCACTTTCCCTCTCCTCGCAGATCAGACTGAGCGATGCCAGGATCTTGCTCTCCCTCAGAGGAGGCTGGCTGGAGAAGCTCTTACCCCTGTGTTCGGCAATGCCTCTGCCTTCTTCTAAAGCTTAGGATCCCTGCTCATAATAAATAGCAAGTGACTAGCCCCCTCTGTTGGTCATGAGTACCTCTTCCCCAATCCCGCACGCTCACATGCCATCAGACTGCTGTAAGCAAATCCTCCCCACCTCACATGAATACAAATCCCCAGGAAGGATTTCTCAAGCTTTAAAGGCTCCCTGTTCTTCCCAAAACACCAGCGCCCCACCAACTTTGTCTCCCGCAACTGTCCCACCCCTGTCCCCTACCCTTTCTTGCATCCCTCTCAGTCTCATAAAGTCATACAGCACGGAAACAGACCCTTCAGCCCAATCAGTTCATGCCGATCATAATTCCAAATGAAACTAGTCCCGCTTGCCTACACTTGGCCCATATCCCCTCCAAACCCTTCCTATTCATGTACTTATCCAAATGTCTTTTAAATGTTGTAATTGTGCCCACATCCACCGCTTCCTCAGGAAGTTCATTCCACATGCGAACCACACTCTGTAAAAAAATTGCCCCTCATGTCTTTTTTAAATCTTTCTCCTCTCACTTTAAAAATGTGCCCCCTAGTCTTGAAATCCCCCATCCTAGGGAAAAGACATCTACCATTACCCCTATCCATGCCCCTCATGATTTTGTAAACCTCTATAAGGTCACCTCTCAACCTCCTACGCTCCAGTGAAAAAAGTCCCAGCCTGTCCAGCCTCTCCTTAGAATTCAAACTTTCCATTCCCGGCAATATCCTGGTAAATCTTTTCTGAACCCTCTCCAGCTTAATAATATCCTTCCTATAACAGGGCGACCAGAACTGGACACAGTGCTCCAGAAGAGGCCTCACCAACGTCCTGTACAATCTTAACATGACGTCCCGACTCCTATACTCAAAGGACTGTGTGCTTTCACTTTCTGAGTTTGGAACCCTAGCATTCATCTCCCGCACTGAACCATCGGGGAGAAAGTATCTAGAAAGTTTCACCATTCCTTCGGATGTGGCTGTGTTGCAAATCCTGGAACTTCCTCCCTAACAGCACCGTGTGAGAGTCCCTATACCACACTGGATGGTGGTTCAGTGGTTAGCCTTGCTGCCTCACAGTGTCATGGTCTCAAATTCAGTTCCATCCTTGGGTGACCGTCTGTGCGGACTTTGCGCATTCTTCCCCCGTGTCTGCCTGGGTTTCCTCTGGGTGCTCCAGTTTCCTCCCACAGTCCAAAGATGTGCAGGTTACGTGGATTGGCCATGCTAAATTGTCCCCTAGTGTGCATGGATGCACAGACTAGGTGGATTAGTTATGGGAAATGCAAGGTTTATGGGGATAGGGTGGGGGTCCTGGGTCAGAATGGGATTCTCTACAGAGGATCTGTGCCAACTCGATGGGTTTAAGGGCCTCCTTGACTGCGGTGGTTCAAGAAGGTGGCTCACCACTACCTTCTCAAGGTGGGTAATTATGGATGATGGGAAAGGGGTCAAGTGCAGGCCCATGCCCTGTGGATGAGTTGCAAAGCACCATCTCCAATTCTGCAAGGTATTGTGTGAAGATGCACCAGGCAACGCCTTTACAGGGCCAACTATTCCCACAGTTGATGGTTTTAAAGGGCTGCTTAGCTCAGTCGGCTGGATGACTGGCCTGAGATGCTGAGTGACACAAACAGCATGGGTTCAATTCCTGGCCTGGGATGCTGAGTGACACAAACAGCATGGGTTCAATTCCTGGCCTGGCTGAGGTCACCATAAAGGTTCCCTTGTTCTCAATCTCACCTGACCCTTGGGTTAAACCACCCCCCCTGTTATCTCAACCTCGCGGGACAGTAGCATTATAGGGCTATGGCTGCCTTAGATCATGGGAAGCAAAATGAAGTCAGAACGGCTAGAGGAGGCAACCAAATAGGGAAGTGGAAAGGAAACCCAGCAGAAGGGGACAGTGATGTAGTGGTACTGTCTCTAGCCTAGGGTACAGAAACACACACCAGGGTGCAGGTTCAGATCTCACCACAGCAACACGTAGGGTTTAAATGTGCACTGTTTTTAAAGAAAGGTCTGGAATTGAAAGGATTTACTTGCGTCGGCGACCATGACGGCTAAGATGAATTCTCATAAAAACACATCTGGGGAAGGAGATTTGCTGTCCTTACCTGGTCCGGCCTATACGTGACTCCAGACCCATGGTAATTGTGGTCGGCTCTTCAGTGCCCTCCCAGGTGGGGGGGAAAGGAGGCAGGGGGGCAGTGAAGGAGGGTAATAAGTATCAGCCTCGCTGGATGTGACACGCACGCTCCCTGAGAGAACAGGCAGAGCTTGGCACAGAGGAACGCGAGGGGGATTTGCTTCGGAAGGACAAACGGGAAAAAGAGCCAACTGCAAGAATGGCTTAGTTTTTAAACAGAGCTGACGGTTAACAGGCAGAAATCCATGAGGTTGACCGGGCAAATCAATTGTTTTTCTTTAAAGAAAGCATCAGATTTGCAAAGGGGGAAAGAGAGCATGAAGGGTTAGAAATTTATGAATAGCGGGTTAGACCTTGGCTGGAGTTTTGCGAACAGTTCTGGGCCAGAGCCTTCAGGGAAGATCCTCAAGAGGAAGGTTTCCCAGGCTGAGGGAATCTCGATTCTGAGGAGGGTCTGGGCCAGGTTTCTGGTTTCGAACGGAGGGGAGTCAAATGGATGCGAGGCTTCAATCAAGGGGGAAATAAATTATACCCTCGGGATCAATAAGCAGAGGTTCTGGATTTGAAATCACCAGTAAAGATTCCACTCAGACCTGTGAGGATTTAGAATTCTCAGCCTGAAAAGGTGATGGAGGCCGTCAAACACAACAATCCCCTGATCTTTTCTCTCAGTCAAATAACTGACCCCAGGCTGAAAGACAGAGGATTGAGGAAGGGGCCACGGGGCGTGAATTCACCCCCCACCCCACCAGCAACCGCGGGAGGATAGAAAGCCAGTTTTTCTCCCTCCAGCCGACTGACACAGCCATGTTTTATGCAGCAGTACACCAGCCGCATACCAACGGCAAGCTAACAAGTCTCAGCGACGGTGGGGGGGGTGTTTTAGTTATCGCTCAGAGCACACACTGGTCCTGAGGGTGGCTGAATTTACATTCTCACAATCTGCAGAATGCATTATCAGAACAGCGGGTCCAAGTAAATTGCGAATGCCAGGGTTGGGAGGGATGATTGGATACCAGCCACCCGGCACAGTCTGCCTGTTAGGTCAGGCTGCCGAACTCGCAGGGGTTGATTTTATGTAAAGAATGTGTGCAATTGCAGCAGGAGCTGTTCCTCCAGCCCGCTAGGCCTGTTTCATCCTTCAGTGGTGGCAAAGTCGCCACGGATGACTAGCTCTGGGGACGTAGATTTTTACAGCCACAGAGTTGTACAGCACAGAAGCAGACACTTTGGCCCAATTTGTCCGTGCCGACCAGATATCCTAAATTAATCTAGTCCCATTTACCAGCATTTGGTCCGTATCCCTCTAAACCCTTCCTATTCATGTACCCATCCAGATGCCTATTAAATGTTGTAATTGTACCAGCCTCCACCACTTCCTCTGGCAGCTCATTCCATACACACTGCCCTCTGTGTAAAAACGTTGTCCCTCAGGTCCCTATTAAATCTTTCCCCTCTCACCTTAAACCTACACCCTTTAGTTTTGGACTCCCCTATCTCCGGGGAAAAGACCTTGTCTATTTACCCTATTCATGCCCCTCATGGTTTTATAAACCTCTTTAAGGTCGCCCCTCAGCCTCCAACACTCCAGGGAAAACAGCCCCAGCCTATTCAGCCACACCCTATAGCTCAAACCCTCCAAAACTTGTAAATCTTTTCT